ATATACCCCTATACCCGGGTATACCTGTACCCGTAGATATACACATATATACATACATATTAAATAAATATATATTATATAAATAAATATATATATAATAAGGGTTATCTTATTAATCTCTTGAGTCTATATAAATATTTGATTGATATATACTAATAATTTGATTGAATTTACAGATGCGGTCATCCGCCAAAAATACGTATGTGAGAATAGCATTTTGTATATCAGCTGTCCGTTAAACTACAAAATTAAAGTTATGTGCTCCATCTACGGACGCACTGTTCCACGTACCCAGCGCTGTTCGACCACCCCAATTAGATATCAAGACACGACGTGCATTGCGCAATCATCAGTATCTAAGGTCAGACAGTACTGCGAAGGAAAAAGGTCGTGTAGTGTCCGGGCTAGTAACAGTGTGTTTGGTGACCCCTGTGTCGGAACACGGAAGTATCTGGACGTTTGCTACGATTGTGAGTATAATTGGTTTAAATTTTGTCCAATTTTTAAATATTTGAAATTGAAAATTATGGCTGGACATTTGGGGACCCGTGACAGCTGTAGTGTAGGGCCTGTACGGCCTGTACGGACATGCAACGGCTCAGCCATTTATTTGAGTCGAATGGTCGAGCGGTGACTGTACGCAAAGAGTATGATATAACAGAAGAGACTCCACTGCTGTGCGAGTTAGCGTGACGCCCTATCCGCTGTATGGGGAAACCTCGTGGATGCATGTTCCTCGACGAGTGATGGCAGCATATAAAAACAATAATCTAAGACCTGTATTTGGAAAAGAGTGCATAAAGTCAAATTATTATATCCGTTTTTAAACGAAATATAAAGGCAAGACTTTATAAGTATAAAATTATTGGAAAATATGCTATGTATTGTGGGTTTTTAGAAAGTTTACTTTAAATCACGATAGTATTTTGAATGTTTGATAAAAGAAAAAGCCTGGGAGTTTATAAGAAAAATAATATTTATTAGGCCTCACTATACACAAGACGAGTGCATTGGTATTCGATATATGTAATTCTTATTAAATGAGAACATTTGAGTTAATGATGTGTTTGCTTTGGCTATGACTTGTTCTCCAGCCCTTCCTCAGTCTGCTGGTATGTAAATATAATGTTGTCTTCTCTTCAGTCAAACAAATTAATGTATAAAACAGTAGTAAAAAGATAGTCGGAAACACCAAAGTAACTTTCAAAATATTGTACTTTACTTAGAATTTTTGACACAAACTTCAAATACTTTCACAAGCAAATGAGAGTGAAATAACCGCAATGATGAGGAAAACATCCATCTGATATACCTGTACCTTAAAATCCATATTTGCAAATAAACGAGAAAAAAACAAATTCATCCATTCAACTGTTAGTGACCCAGACACTGTCTGGGAGTTATGAGGTATTAGCACATAATAATCAGGGGCTGATCCAGCATTTGAAATAGGGTGGTTCAAAACGTCTCTAAAAAGCCCCTCAAAATGAAAGAGGGTCCTAAGGACCTCCACCGGGAAATTTTCCTTTCTAGATGGCCGGAAATAAGCTTTCCCGACATCTGAGGAGTCTTTTAATTACCTTTAAGTTCTTCAAAATTCAAGGTTTTTCTCCTCTTGAAAAGATCAGGTAATTTTATCCTATTCTTAAGGCCTCTATATAGAGAAAAAAATCAAAGACATAGTGAGTGGATTTCCCGCACGATTAAAAATCCAAGAAGTTTATCCACCACAGCTTGTAGAGGGCGTTCTGTCGTCGAGCGGAATTCATTTTAAGTCTAAGTGGACTCTCTTCTGTTGTATACTCTTATACTCTGACTATAATATTTCCATCGATTGTAGTGTTATATTGCCAACTTTGAAATTCAAAGATTTTCTTCTCACAACAATATTTTCGCCCCGAAGCGAAACAAATCTAAATGAAGCAACATCATTCTCAATACAGTCTATTAATGTTCTACTCCAGTAGAATTACATTTTTTTTTAACCTGATTGGAAACAAAAGTCTCTATGATCACGCAATGAAATATTAAACAGTATTCCACATTTACACTAAAATTAAGGGGCGTTTATCTGAGTATATGGGTATCAATTGTACACTTAAAAAATAAACGCCTCCCTGGAACAAACGCCCCCCCCCCCCACGAAAACCCTTCTTAACGAGACGTTATTTAAATAAATAGGTAAATAAATACAGCGTCTTGCACAATACTTTGACATAAGCCTAATATTAATTATTTTTCAATTTTCTTTTATAGGCGTCAAGAAGTGCTAGAACTGATCAACTCGACCGTGTTTATTGACAACAAGAACAAGGGAAAAAAAATATTAAAATTTTAAACTTTGACGATGATATTTCTTAATGCAGACATTAAGATTTAGCAATTATGGGTATCCTACAACTATTTTCTATAACTTGTCTATTGTCAAGTTTATTATTATTTGTGAGTAGAAAAGGATAATACCTTAACAATGCACTACAGTCCAGTCCCTATTCAGGGGACGATTTAGGGTTGGCTAAGGAGGCAGTTTTGCCACTGCCGTCATTTAAAAAAAAAAAAATATTTCTGTAACAGCATATAATGCACATGAATTATTATACCATTACTTAATACTTATTTATCTGTATAATTATTTCAGATCTATGTTCTTCTGTCATTAGTTCATATTGATTATTTAAGTAATCTCTAATCTTTTCCAGCTCATTCATTCCCATTTTCTAATATATAACCGAGTGGTTATTATATTGTCCAATGGCCTTTTTCACATTATACCATTGTGGTTTATGAATTTACCTCCTCGCTTGGAATTTTTATGTGCATTCACTTTACATAATAAATTTATTTGCAACTAGAACCCTAAAATCAGTTTTCAGTTTATTTAGTTCGTCTTTTTGACAAACTGTGTGTTTTTTTAATCATTAACTTTTATTGGAACCCTGATCGACACAATCAATCTCTTACTAAAACGAAGATCAAGTTGAGGATTATTTTTTCAAAAAATCAAGAAACATTATTATACTTCATACGTTATGCGTCTGTTATGCGTTATGCGTTTAATTAGCACTGAAGTATATTGATATTTTATGAATAAATTTGCATTTTAAAAAGGTCGATGTCCTTTTGACCTCTACCAACGTTAATAATTATCAAATTAATTTTATTTAAACAACATATGATTAAGAAACATATATACTACACATTGCTACCAAAATAATATTGATGGGATTTTTAATTCACAGGTTATGAGCATAAATATTACCCCTCCCCCTAAAAAAAGTATTGACCATAAATCACTAACGACCATTACAAATGACGCGAGTACATGCAATGCATCCCTATATTCTTCTTGTTAACATCAATGTTTTGTCCTATATTCCCGTAGGAACAAAATGATACCGAGGAAGTTAAACTGGGGGGGGGGGGTGCACGGTGACACACTGTTATGTGTGTATATACATACATAAAAAAAATATGTAGTTGCATACGTATTCTTTTTTACATGAATCAATAAACCCCGAAGAGAAAGGAGGGGTTCTCCGATCCCCCGGCCCGGGTAAATTTTGATTCCAGATGGCGGAAAATGAGCTTTTCCGACTTCTGAGGTGTCTTTAAATGACTTTTAAGTTCTTCAAAATTAAAGTCAAACCATCATGCTCAAACCAAGTCGACTTAGTAACCTTTGTTACAAATCTTTTCACGGTGGTAACCTTCGTTGTTTTTCTGTAAATAAAGAAAAACTAAGTGATACTGTAGTGCTGAATAAACTTAATTACCACATAATTATGAATATGAATTTTGAATAAAGATACCGATATATAATATTTATTATTATTATATACGCATATTAAATATATATATATATATATATATATGTACATATATATACATATAACATAAATCAAGATAGCCATTAACACTGTTAAATTATATATATATATAAATCATCAAAGAAATGTAAGTACAGTGTTCGAATAAAGGACATAATAATACATCGTGTACCGTAGCTCTCAACGAATGTAGTCCTGTAAATAAATGAATAAAGAAATTGTGTAATAAAATGCCCTTGGCAGGATCCGAACTTGCGACCTCTCGCTGTCAAGGCGAGCGTCATAACCATTAGACCACGGAGGCTTCATGGTTGAACAGATTCAAATACCACCAGATACACTCCATTACACAATATGTACGGCTAGAAACAAATAGTTGCATATAATATAAATCAAGATAGCCGTTAACACTGTTAAATTATATATATAAATCATTAAAGAAATGTAAATACAGTGTTCGAATAATAGGACATAATAATACATCGTGTAGCATGGCTCTCAACGAATGTAGTCCTGTAAATAAGTGAATAAGCCATGAAGCCTCCGTGGTCTAATGGTTATGACGCTCGCCTTGACAGCGAGAGGTCGCAGGTGTAAGTCCCGCCAGAGGCATTATATTACACAATTTCTTTATTCATTTATTTACAGGACTACATTGGTCCCATACAAGATGTATTATTATTTCCTTTATTCGAACACTGTATTTACTTTTCTTTGATGATTTATATATCTAATTTAACAGTGTTAACTGCTACCTTGATTTATATTATATGTATATATATTATATGTATATATAACTCAATGAAAAAGACGATGAGATGTCAACGACTTGGTAGACTTAGAACAGAATTTTTTTTTCAAAACATGAATATTTCAACCCGTCCTCGTGTCTTCTTCAGCATGTGTGACAAACAAAATATAAGTTGGCTATTACAATAATTATGATAAAAAGTAAAGTATAATATGATTGGTCGACATTTTAATAGAATATAATGAACATGGTGATTGGACAAAAAAACTAAGGGGCGGAGTAAGAATAGAAATAATTAATAGATTTAGGAACTGTAATTATAATGAGGCTAATATATCAGTGTGGGAACACAGATCTCAGTCGGTATTAACAATAATGGAAATAAATAATGACATAGAATAAAGGAACCGCTAAGATTAAACCCCCTTCAACATGATAAATAGCAAATAAGCAAAAACATGTTAACAAACAGGCAAATACTATAACAAAGAGCCAGAAAGGCTCTTATTTGATATAGAGAAATACAGAAATGTATATATATAGGCCTATATAATGACTGAATAAAAAGGCATATACTGAACAAATAGGCAATCAAAAAAATACAGATGTGATAGAAAATATATAAGACAATGGGTCTATATGTTAAAATAAATAATATTGGTAATATAATAATAATGGAAATAATAAAGATAATAATAATAATAGGCCTCCTAATAATAATAAATGTAATAATAATAACAATAGTAATAATAATAGTAATAATATTAATAATAAAAATAATAATGATAATAATAATGATAATAATAATAATAATAATAATAATAATAATAATAATAATAATAATGATAATAATCATATGAATTACTAAAAAGGGTTAAGAATAAGGGAAATTATAGTCACTGATCATACCGAGGTCCTTGTTAAGTCAGAATATGTGGGTTTTGTGTTTGATTATGTGTCTGAGTTCTGATATGCGCCTTTTATTAAAGGATAGGAAATTACTGGTAATGAGAGTACAGCGCAAGTTATTTATAGAATAGCCGGAGGAGTTGAAGTGGTCGGCTACAGGGAAACCCTTACTGTGATTGCGGATGGATTCGGAGGTTGTCGATTGGCGAGTATATAAATATATATATATATATATTTAATATGTATATATATATAATAAATATTATATATTACTATCTTTATTCAAAATTCATATTCATAATTATGTGATATAGTAAGTTTATTCAGCACTACAGTATCACTTCTTAGTTTTCTTTATTTACAGAAAAACAAGGAAGGTTACTAAGTCGACTTGGTTTCAGCATGATGGTTTGAGACAAGTTTATATTATCGATATATATTTTAATCAAGTTTATTAATGCTTAAATAAATGATTTATGAAATAAATGAAGTACTGTGAAAAGATTAGTTTGTCATACTTTTGTTTTCTTCTGTTACTTTTCGTTTCCTTTCCAGTTCCAGTTTATAATGATATAAATTAAAATAGACTGAAGGGTATAATGATAAATGAAAACAGAGGGAATATATACCGGTAGTATTTTCATATTTAAAAACTAGACTCATGCAGTGCAGGTGCCCAACAAACGCTCCAAATCTCCAGTTTCTCGATTCATCTTAAACAGTGTGTGTATGGTATTTTGGTAAGAAACTCCTCCTTTTCAGTGTTGCCGCTGCGACCTGTGTGTGCGAAGAACTTTTGCCCGACATAGGTGGCGCTTTTTAGAACAGTAAAAGTACAGTAATGTGAAAATTCCGTATGTGAAAACTCGATGGGTACCTTAGTTATGTGTAAACTCGATAGGGAGTTGTGTATAAAGTCGATGGGTAGTTATGTAAACTCGATTGGTAGTTATGTAAACTAGATTTGTAGTTATGTATATTCGATGGGTATAGTTATGTCAACTCGATTGGTAGTTATACATAATGTCGATGGGTAGTTATGCAAACTCGGTGAGTAGGTATGTGACCTCGATGTGTTTGTGTCCGCCCTGGCGTTCCATACTGGCCTATCGCCAAAAATCTCATCCATTTCTGCAAAATACGGCCAGTCTGTGGGCCCGTTACCTGACCTGTTGTTTTCATCCTTAGCCTGGTTGTATTGATTATTTGGGCTCTATTAAAGCCAAATCCCAGCTTTTCCATCTTTGTAATTATCGGCCTGTAGGTTTGTGCATTTCTCCTTGTCCCATCAAAACCTTCATGTATCTGGGTACACCCCTACACACTTATCAGGGCGAAGGTTGCTTCTGTTGTCCAGGTGTTTTTTCGATTCATTTTCGGGGAAATTAATAGCGAAGTCCCGAGTAAAGTTAAGTAAAAATATAATTTTGCGGCATAGGAGCAATGCACGTTGACTCTTTATCAATACATGGACGTGAGCGTAGCCTGTCTCTTATACACATCTAGATGTGTATAAGAGACAGTATACATACAAAGCGTTATAAAAGTATATAGAAGAAATTAAATTTAAAACACAAGAAAATAGAAATATACCGTATGTATTACTAAAGCAACAATGCAATTAACCTATTTTTAAATTTGATCTTCTATCCCAAGCTTTTTTAGCAAATGTTTTACAATATCTGTCAAATGCAGACTGAAAATCATCATTAAAGAGATCAATTTTCCATCAAGAACAAAATGTATTTTATCATCAATATCAGATTCCGAAAAAATATTCAAAGTTGCAGTCTCATTGCAAAGTTCAAGGTCTTGTTTTAAGATAGCTAATTCTGCCTCTCTTATTGTATCACATGATTTACAGTTAAATAAATGATGACGAATATCTTCGGTTTTGCCACTTTGGCACAAGGTACACTGGCCAGTAATTTCTTTAGACCATTTGTAGGTCTTGCTATCAAGGGGTAATGTGTTGGACCTTAATTTAAATTTTAGAGTTACCCCCATAAAGTTAGTTTTATTAAGCAAATATTTTTCGAACCTTGGTGTAGATTTCAATTTGACTAATTTTTAAGAGAAGGCTTTAGGTTAATTTGGTTTTCCCATTCAACGTTGTATGAGTCTGCAACATGTGTATTTACAGTTCTAACAGGAAACGAATTAAAAGTGAAATTATCTGAATCAAAAACTTGTTCAAACATATATTAATCTGTACATTTATCAAGTATATTCTTACAAGAAACAAGAAATTTGTAATTAACTCATTAAAATTGGATTTCAGTTGAAGCATGCAATGGAGTAGAGTATTTGGCCACCGATTTTCATTTATATTTATTAGGTTAAGGAATTTAATTTTAGTAATTTCATGCGTTTTT